CACTTCGCAAGGGCCCTGCTTGCCTTTGCTGCCATTAGCTCTTCATTCCACACAAGCCATAGTGTTACTAGTCACAGGTAACGCTGTACTCAGGTACCAGCATTTCATAGCCTTAGGACTGTACAATCTGACAGCGATTAAGGAGAGGCAGAAGCAGACAAGCAAGTTGAAGCTTAAAGTAAGTTCTGGAGCAGCTCTGCAAGGGAGATAAAAGTTTCATAAGCAATGTTTGATATTAGGGTAGTTTAGTGAGACATATTTCTTCCTTATGGGTTATATAATTTTTAAACTAACTTATATTTCCAAAATTTGTCACTTAACTATTTTCTTATTTTTTTCCTTTAATAAAATTGTTAGTTAAAATAGAACACATACAGGCAAGTGCACAAGTCATAAGTATAAGCTCAAAGGATTTTCACAAACTGAATACATTTCATTTAATCATCACCCAGAACAATAAGTACATCAGTGTCCCAGGTACTCCTCTGGTACATCAGTGTCCCACGTACTCCTCTGGTGCCTCTGGGTTCTTATTCAACTGTCACTTTCTCAATGACGCTTCCAGGACAAACTCCCCAACTCTCTTTAATTAAAATGTCTAACAATTTCCCCTCCCTACCTCAGTCACACTTCCTCCTCCTATTCAAAGGCAACAACTCTCTCGATTTCTAAAATCATACACGAGTTTTATATGATTTTGAACTTTATGTAAATGGAAGCGTAAAAGGTGCCACTGTGTCTGTTCAACGTTATGTTTCTAAGATTTATCCATGTTGCAAGTAGTAGCAGTTTATTTTTCATTGCTGTTTCCCATTGAATGAAAACGCCACAATTTAACTTGTCATTCTGCTCTTGAGTGACATCTAAGTTGTTTCTAGTTTTTTGAATTATTTATTTTTAAAATTTTTTCCTTTCTTTAATTCCCCCTCCCCCTTTCCACCTCTGACCTATGGATGTTGCCGTTTCCCCTTAAGAACTAGATCTTTGAAGGTGGGGTGTCTCCTCCTACATCCTCGCAGCAAGCATCCTGGCCGGTGTACTACTTTGAATAGTGCTGCTATGACCATTCTCACACGTCTTCTGGTACTCACTTCTCTTGGGTATATATCTAGGAATGGACTCACTGGCTCAAAAGGTTTGTGAATCTGCAGCTTTAATTAATCATGACATTTTTTAGTTGTTTGTACAATATACACTTCCCCTTCTCCAGCATTGTTCTGCCACATTCTTGTCAACACAGTATTGTCGGTCTATTTAATTTTAGCCATTCTAGTGGGTGTGTATTTAACTTTAATTTGTGGTTTTCATTTGCATTTTTTTTAGTGACTATTGAAGTGGGAACTTCATGCATATACTGGATTTTGGATAGCCTCTTTTTCTTATTGACTTGCGGGGTTCTTTACATGTTCTAGATATGAGCCCTCTTGTTAAATACATTGCAAATGTCTTCTCTCAATCTGTGACTTGCCTTTTCATTCTTTTGTGTCTTTTGATGAAGAAAAGTTCTTAACTTCAATGTAGTGCATTTATCACTTTCTTCTTCATCCTAAGTACATTATGATTCCTGTTCCTTGGTCTATCAATGGTCATCAAGATACTTTTCTGTTGTCTTCTTATTTTTTAATCTTTCAAGTTTAGATCTATAATTCTCCTGGAATTTTGTTGTTGTATTTAATTTGAAGTAGGAGTGAAATTTCATTTTTTTCATATAGATATACAAATGACCCAGTACAATTTGTTAAAAAGAGATAATTTCACCTACAATGTCACCTTTGATATAAACCAAATGTTTGTATATGTATGGGTCTGTTTATAGACTCTCTACTGTTTTATTTTTTTATTCTTTTATTCACATCATATTGTCTTAATTACTGTAGCTTATAAGAAATCTTATTATTTAGTAGAATGTGTATTTTCTTCTTTATGAGTACCTTGGTTATTCTTGTCCCTTTGCAATTGCACATAAATTTTACAATCAGCTTGTCAGTTTTCACAAAAATGCCTGCTGGGATTTTAATTAAGATTGCACTCAATCTACAGATCAATTTGAAGAGAACTGACATCTTTACAGTATTGAGTCTTTTGACCCATGAACATGAATTATCTATTTATTTAGACTGTCTTTAATTTCTCTCAATACTGTTTTTAAATTTTCATTGTACAGGTCTTGTACATTATTTCTTTAGATTTATGCCTAGGCATTTAGGTTTTGTGATGCCAAGTAAACGGTACTGTTTTCTTTTTGTTCTTAAAATTTTATGTTCAATTGTTTATGGTAAATAAAAATACAATTGGTTCTTCTATACTGACTTTGCATACAGTGACATTGCTAAATTTACTTTTAATTCTAATAATTTATTTGTAGATTTTAATTGTTCATTTTTCTCATACATAACCATGTTTCTTCCTTTCAAATCTTTTTTAGCTAGCATCTCAAATACAAGGATGCTAAATAGAAATAGAAGTGGACATGTGGGAATCTCTTTCTTGATCTTAACAGAAATGCTTTCAATATTTTCCCATTAAATATGATGTTTGCTATATGTCCTTTGCAGAAAATCTTTATGATATTAAGGAAGTTCTTTTTACGTTCTAGTTTCTTAAGGCTTTTTAAAAAAATCATAAACTTGTATTGAATATTATCAAATGCTTTCTTTGCATCTATTGTGGTTTTTTTTTTAATCTGTCAAAAAAATTATATGGACTTGTTTTCTAATGTTAAACCAACTTTACATTCCTGAAATAAAGTTATATTGGTTGTGATGTACTATCCTTTTGTGGTTAGTGGATTTGTTTTGCTTATAATGTGTTACAGATTTCTGTATCTATACTTATGATAGAGATTGGTCTGTAATTTTCTGTCCTTGTCAGATTTCAGCATCAAGGTTTTCTGGCCTCAGCAAACGAGTTAGGAAGTGTTTCTTTTCTATTTTCTGGAGAAGTCTATTAACATTAGTGAAGCCAATCTGAGACTGACTTTTCTTATGTGAAAAGACTTTTTAATTAGGTATTTAATTTCTTTAATAAATTATATTAGTTTTCTATGGCTGCTATGACAAATTACAACAAATTTAATGGCTTAGAACAATGCCAACATATTATCTAACAGTTCTGTAGGATAGAAGTCCAACATCAGTTTCTGTGGTAGTAGCAGGGCTGCATTTCTTTTTGGTAGCTCTAAGGGAGAATCCTTCTCTTTGCCTTTTCCAGCTTCCTAAGGCTGTTCACTTGACTCATGGCCCTCTTCTTCCATCTTCAAAGCCAGTGACTGCATCTTTCTGATCATTCTTTTTCAGTCATATCTTTCCCTGGCTACAAATGGGAAAGGTTCTCTGCTTTTAAGGACCCATGTGATTAGAATGGGCCTACCTGCATAATCCAAAATAATCTCTCTATAGCAAGATCCTTAATTTAATCACATCTGCAAAATCCCTTTTGCTATATAAAGTAACATTATTCATAGATTCCAAGGATTAGAAAATGGGCATCTTTGGGGGACCATTATTCTGTTACTGCACAGATATTTAAATTAAATTTGAAATATATTCAGATTCTCTATTTCTTCTTATTTCAGTGTAAATTGTGTTTTTCAAGGAATTAGTCCACTCTGTATACACTGTCAAATTTATTGGTATAATATTGTTCATAATAAGCTCTTTTAATGTTTTTAATGTCTGTAATAATCTGCATTTTTAAAGTTTTATTTTTATTTATTTAACTTTTTGATATAGGTAATTTATCTACCTTATTTCTTGTCTAGATTAGTCTCGCTAGAATTTATAATTTTATTGTCTTTTCAAGATATTTCAAAGAAACAACATTTAGGTCTGCTGATTTTGTCTAATGTATGATTGTTGTCTATTTCATTAATTCTTATTATCTCTATTATTTGTCATTATTTTTTTCTTTTGGCTTGATTTACTATTCTTTCCCTCATTTCTTTACTTACATATTTTACCACTGATTTTCAATCTTTCTTCTTTTTAAGTCCATGCTTGGAGAGCTTTAAATTTCATTCTAAGCACAGTTTTAGCTTTGTTTCATAAAGTTTTATAGGTTATAATTTTATTTATTATTCAGTTAAAAATATTTTATAATTTCCACTGTGATTTTTTTTCTTTAACCGATGGGTTATTTAGGAGTGTACTTCTAAATTTCTAACATTTGGAGATGTTATCTTTTTGTTATGATATCTAACTTAATTCTACTGTGTTTAGAAAACATTCTCTGTATGACTTCTTTCAAACGTATTAAAACTTGCTTTGTAGCCCAGGATATGGTCTTATGTTTCATATGCCTTTGGGGGAAAAATGTGTATTCTGCAACTATTGTATACAGCGTTCTACATTTCAATTAGGTCAAATTTGTTTACTCTATTGTTCAAATCTCTTTTTCTATTTATATTTTATCTGCCTGTTCTATTAGTTTCTAAGAAAAATATATTCAAATCTCTGTGGGTTAAGTCTGACATATAGTACATTAAATGTTTTTGAGAATATATTACTAGGTACATACATATTTAAAATTGCTTTATGTTCCCTTTTATCTCTAGTAATGTTTCTTTTAAAGTATTTTCCGATATTACTCTAGCTATATCTTTCATCTTTTGGTTACTAATTATATGGTCTTTTTAATGGGGCTGCATTTTGGGGACTTTTTTCCAACCAATAAAGAATTACCCAAACTGAACAATTCCTCTATGGAAAAGAGTATGTAGTGGGAGAAAGGACCCTGAGTTGGAAGTCAGAGGCCATGAATTCTGGTCCCAACATTCCCACTAACCATAGACCCCTAAGTAAATTGCTTAATCATTTATGGGCCACTGTTTACTTATCTGTTAAACTGGATAATCTTTACCTTTGAGGGTTATTATTAGTTTCTATGGAGATCATATCTATGGACATAATTAAAAATTGTAAAATGCTGACCACCACATGTTGCACCAACTCAAATGCCCCTTTGCCTCTTGCTTTGGACCTCTTGCCTCACCTCTGCTGAAAATGGACCCCAACTGCTCCTTCTTCACTGGTGGCTCCTGCACCTATGCCAGCTCCTGCAAATGCAAAGACTGCAAATGTACCTCCTGCAAGAAGAGCTGCTGGTCCTGCTGTCCTGTGCACTGTGTTCAGTGTGTCCAAGGTTGTATTTGCAAAGGAGCAATGGACGAGTGTGATGTCAGAGAGAGCCTGCTCCCCAATGTAGATTGAGGAACATGTTCAAACTTACATTTTCCTTTTCATTCTACTCTGACCCTTTTGCCACATTCTCTTTTCTATGAACTATGTGAAGGATAAAAGTTGTTGACTTAAAAATATTGTAAAATGCTATATAAATGCCAAATAATTATTACATGTGTTCTAAATAAAATCATAAAAATCAGGAAGCAGCTCACCTCCATTTTGGAACAGTAAAAAGATTTGTCTTTTCGCAAAAATTTTTTTCACAAATTTGTCTTTTCTCTCTCACTATATATACATATAGATTACAATATAATAATATATAATAGTCCACTTCATATAGTCATATTT